ATATATAAATAATATATATATATATATATATATATATATATATATAGCTTATTTTATAATAATACTTACAATGCTTACAAGGATAGGAGTTAAAAAATATGTATCTATGAGGATGTGATTATTTTTAGGTTCCGTATTAGAAGACTCAGTTACATATACTATAACAATGAAAATAGAAAATTTTTAAATATTTTAAATATGAGTTACATCATATTGTTATATATATAATTGTGAAATGTTAAATACCGTATGGCCTATTGCTGAGGGTTACATAAGACGACTCTTCTTCATTATGAGTGTCTAAGTACGGTGATAAGTTTCCTTTCAGCATTAGGACTTCCTCGCGTGTACCTGCAACACCTAAAAACACATTGTTTTAAAAACAATGTTTGATTTTTCAAATTTATTTAAATTTTTAAAAATTTCTCATACCGGTACAAAGTCTTCTTAGTTCTCCTGTTATTTATAGAAATATAAGCACTGTTTTTTTTCCCCCTCCAAAATGGAGCCTTATCCGAAATTTCTTAAGAAGTAATCACATTAACATATTCTCTCCATGGAAAAATATATTAGAATTAACTCATTTGTCAGTCATACATGGTATGTAAACTCGAGTAATTCTGCACAACACTATAATCACAGAACATAATCTCTCCTGATTGTTGTGCATCCTCTTCTTAGACATTAAAACATTTTTATTTCACTGTAGTTGTATATACCACAAATTGTGTCAGAACAAATTCTTATTCAATACTTCATGTATACTACTTAAAATTATTTGTAACAGTTTGAGCATCATTTAAAATGTAATTTTTATTTATTATTACTTTATAAAATTGATTTTTTTATTGATTATATTAAACGGCACCAGAATTATTACAAATTTACAGTAACTCTCATTTAAGGCTACTCGCATGTATACATAAAATTATTTTTAAAAATCTTGTTTGATAAATATATACATATATATAATGTATAGCAATATATGTAATGATGATCTGTGATGATATTTGAGTGTTAATTTCTCTGAACACACAAAATCTATTAAAGTAACTTGATATGAACACAGCGATAACTAGTTATGCATGACAATATGATGCATCATGATTTTATCATTCTTTCTTGCATTTTTTTTGTGGAGATCTATAGTTCAAATGTACCTCTTCTTTCATACAAATATTTATTTCATGCTTTTTCATATCCACAATCACTTAGTGCAATTCCTGTAACATAAATCAATGTTTATGAAATTTCCTTCATAATTCTATAACACTTAATAACGATAACAATTCATAACATATTATTATAGCTATATTTTTATTAAATCTTCAATTATCCAATATACTTTTCACATGAAAACACTACTAACACATTAAACAGTATACTAAAATAAATATTGCATTAAAATTAAATGTAGTCTTTGTTAATAACAAATAATTGGTATAAATTTTGGTAATTATAATAAAATGAAAAAGAAAGTGCGTTTGTCTAATTCGATGACGCGAATGGCGTACATAGCGTTTCAAAGTGATCAAAATTATAATCAATGAAATATTATGATTTTATAAAAGTCATTATTCCGTTATATTATAAAATATAAAATAAACTCGCAAATATTATAACTCATTTTAATCACATGGTGATTTTTACGCGCACAAAATTTTATAATGCATGTCTTTAATGATGAATAACACAACACAGTTTACACGCGTGTTAAGTAACCATATAGAAGTAATGTTTTTTGAATTCTGATAAAGAGTTCATTTTTCAACTGCACATAATCATATCTTTTATGTACTAGAAGATACAACGCCCAAAAGCGATTCGAGAAAGATTAGAGTTCTTACGGACAAGAAACTCGATGGAGTGATCGGTGGGGATGCAAGAATTAGATCTGACAATAAAGGTACCGTAGAACCGATAAACATTAAAAACACTACCTTCGCACTTCGGCACATCGAATTCTTGAAGTTTTCAGTTTCAGCTGCCGACAAATCGACAGGAAAATTTGAAAAGATCAAATAGTAAGTGACAAAGAATTGTTCCCTCGATCGCAACACGTACGAACACGGTTAGGCCAGGCAAAGCAGCTGAGGGCGCTACGATCGATCATTGCTTACGTTTTATCAGGATGGGAAACCTACTTTTTCAAATTTATTTTTGATTATTTTTATTTTATTTTTCTTCATATTTTTTAATATCTTTATGAATTTATTATATAAATTTGAAAATCACTTTTTTCTAATAACACTTAAAGACATCTAAAAGAAATTCATCAATATTTTTTATCAATTTCAATTGATAAAATGAATTATTAATTTTTTTAAATATCATATAGATAATCTATTTTTTTTAATGACAGTTAAATAATTTATAAAATAAATTAATAAAATAATAAAAATAAAATGGATAGAATAAATAAATAAAATATGATAGATATATTTAGATTATAAATCCCTAGATTTACCCCCACCAATTCGCAATTTGTTCTTAATGTATTATAGAACACGACGAAGATTGACATTTGTCTTTTTATTTTCACGTGGATAAGACACACTGCGTTCTCGAGACAGCATTCATTTCCTAATATAGAAATTCAGAACGTAGTGAATAAAGGCATAGCATTATCATGGTTCGCGTAATTAGTCAGGAAACCTACGACGAAGTTGTCCATGAAAATATGGAGCAATTCTCGATGACTCCCGAAGAAGCTATAGAAGACGCGGTAAAACAATTAGAAGCTCAGGTATTTAAATTTGTTTCTTTTTAATTTTTCTGATATATAAATTTCTACAAAATGTTTGTTAATTTCTTACAAATTTTATTTCAAATTGCACAATTCATCATTTTAAATTATAATCAATATTTTAATATTATTCATTATGTAGAAATTCTCGAAATTTTAAATTAAATAAGTAATATCTCTAATTTTATATCTTATATCACAGGCTATTTTATTTATATAGGAGCTTGTGTCAAATTAATTTTTTTTTATAAACGTTAGAATTCTAGTAGTAATATTTTTTTTATTATCTTTACATTATTGCAAATAATAATTTTATTTTTATATTAATAACAGTTAAAAAAAATAAATAAATAAATATCAAACTATATAATATTGTAATTTTTTTCACTTAAAAAAGTATTACAAGAATATTAGAATTCAAATAATCTAGAACACATTATATAATGTACTTGCATGTTGTTTTTATCAACTCTATTTTTATAGGGTATTGACTTGAGCAATATCATTAAAGATTTAATTCTTAATGATGACAATGAATTAATTACATCTTGTTTAAATCAAATTAATATTGCTATAGAAGATCAAAATTATGGAAATATTCATCATACATTAGACAAATTGAGAATTCAATTAGACAAAGATATTGCACGTAGAGTATATGCAGGAAGAAATGGTGCTTATAATAGTTTAATAAAATTAATGAAAGCATGCCTTAATAATGGTACAGTAATAAAGGCAGCATTGAAAACTATTACTTCATTGATGACTGGTAATCCAGATTTATTAAATGATGAGGGAATAGCCTTGCAAATACAGTAAGAAGTATTTATTAGTTATGATCAAATACAATATGGCCAATTGTTTTTCATTTATAAATTATTCCATTTGTTAGGATTTTAGATAATTATCCAGACATTCCAACATTACAGTGTCTTTTACGGTGGATAAGAGAATGTTGTATAAAACATGAGAATAATAGACAAAATATTTTTAATGCAGATATCTTTAATAAGCTTAAAAAAATATTAATTCGAGATAATGCATCTGGACCTGAGTTAAGAGATGCTTGTGCTGTGATTAGAGCTCTGGTGTTAGATGATGATATTAGACATGAATATGGGAAAGCACACGAGCATGCAAGTATTATTGCAAAGGGAGCCCTCAATGTCCTTACTGGATTGATGCCAAGTAAATGATATCTTTGTGTATGTATAGAAAAAGTTATATATATGCAAAAAAATTTTTAATAGATACTATTTACTATGCATAGGATATAAAAAAGATAAAGGGGTTGTAGGTGATTTAATGATAACTTTAGCAGCATTAATAGTGAGAAATGAATTTTGTCAAGAAGTAGAGGATGCAGGAGGCTTAAAATTTGTTATAGACGTCATGATT